GAATGATGACTTTGAGTTTTGGTGTTGGAGGAGAATACTGAAAGTGCCATGGACTGCCAAAAGAACCAATAGATCTGTTTTAGAAGAAGTGCAGCCAGAATGCTCCTTGGAGGCCAGGATGGCTAAGCTTCGTCTCTCATACTTTGTACATATTGTCCAGAGGAAATATTCACTGGAGAAGGATGTCATGCTGCCTAAGGTGGAGGGTCAGAGACAAAGAGGAAGACCCCTAACGAGATGGATTGGACAAGTGGCATCACTGATGGACTCAAGTGTGGCAGCGGTAGTGAGGTTCGCCCAGGATCGGTCATAGCTTCGTTCTGCTGTGCATGGGGTCGCTATGGGTCAGTTCCGACTAGATGGCACCTGATAACAACAACAGCAACTACGAAAATTCAAAAGCAATAAGGTCAAGCCACGGTACCCCAATATAAAGAAAATATATGTAAAGCACAAGTATATGAGGAAGTTGATTTTATCGAGTAGTAATTCTATCTATACTGATAACAGTCAGAATTGATGAGGGAATAGATTTTTATATGCCTTATAAAATATACAGAATGCATTTAAGGTTTAGGAAACAGTCAATTTGCCTTACAATTAACTTTGATGAATGTGTAATTTTGCAATGTCTTAACTATATTTATAAACATTGTCATATATTCTTACATATAAACTGTACTTCCACACCTAATATTCTGTTCAGGTTTCCTGATATCATTAATTAGACAGAAATATCTTTGACTGCTCTTAGAGAAAAAACTCAAATCAACCTGGAAAATGATGGTGGGTCCCCATGTACAATGTATGTAACATGGAAGAAAAAAGGACAAGGTGGATAGAGGTTAATTGCATGCATCTTGTCTCACAATACCAGGAAATTAACAATACTGGATTCCAAAAGGCTTAGTCTTTCAGGATTTTTAAAGCCCTGGGATCAGTATGACAAAAACTATGTGGGTATAATGAGGATCTTTGGATATTAAGCCTCTAGAGATATTTTGTCAGTCTGTGAAATCTTATTTAAGTGTCCTATCACTGTAAGGACATAGAATACAAGGTCTTCTTCCCAAGATGACCAGTTTTATACAGGAACCTAGTATTTCATTCAGACCTTCTGTCTTTCCTGAAGATCTATCTTCTATCTTCTACATCCAAAATAGATGTCAGACATCATTCCTCAAAGATGCCAGTCAGGTAATCCAAAATCTCCTATTTCATGTTTACAAAAGATGTCAGGTGTTTTATTAAATGTACATCCAGGAGATTGAATGCATGTGAATAGAATGCATGCAGGAAATGAGTGCAACCAAGTTTCTCATGAGAATTTTGTTTGTCTGTCATCTTCTTGCCAGGTGTTCTTATATCTTTGCACTAATTTCAGTATTATTCTGCTAGTCTCTTGCTCTATTGATACAAATGTGCAAGAATGATTCTCATGTTGAGCAATAACCTAATCAAATATGATGTGTAATAAACTATTTTTTGACGTTTACTTGTATCTTTGTGGTACTAGTAATCAAGAAGATTTTGTCATTTTTATCTTATATTCCTGACTTATCTTATTTTCTGACTCAGATGCAGGGAACGATGTGGAGAACAGATTTAATTAAAAATCTATATGTATTTTTTAAATTATTAAATATTGATGTTGTTGTTTTTGATAAGTGCCATAAAGTCATTCCCATCTCATAGGGACTGTGTATAGGGTTTCCAAGGGGTGGCTGGTGGATTTGAACTTGTGGTTGGAAGTCCAGGGCTTATCATTAAGTTTGGCACCATAAAAGCACAGATTGAGAAGTAAAATTTTATCATCCTTTACTTCTAGAATAAATAAGAGTTGGCATACTGTAATATCCTCTTTAGGTCATTTTGTTCTTTTATAAAGAAGCAAATAATATTCATGCAGAATGTATCCTTTCTGTATTGCCCTCCATTACTTTCTTTTTTTCTAAGACAACTTCGAATTATGCTCCTGGTGCTGCTTATGATGCAGAAAGTATACACTTAACTGATTTGCTACTCCATCTTTCTACCAGATTCATCAATAATGTAGAACCAAGGAACCAAACAGGTGTTTCAAAATTCATTCTCCTGGGAATAACAGAGGATTCAGAATTGCAGCCCTTCATCTTTAGCCTCTTTCTCATCATGTACCTGATCACTGTTCTTGGAAACTTGCTCATTGTCCTAGCAGTATGCTCTGACTCCTACCTGCACACCCCCATGTATTTATTTCTCTCCAATCTATCTTTTAATGACATCTGTATAAGCACAACCACCATCCCAAAGATGCTGGTGAACATCTTGACACAGAATCAGAGCATCACTTATACAGGTTGCCTCAACCAGATATTCTTTGTCGTGGCTTTTGGTAGTTTTGAAAATTTCATCCTTGCAGTAATGGCCTATGACCGCTATGTGGCCATTTGCCACCCATTAAGGTATACTGTCATCATGAACACATGCTTCTGTGGCCTGATTATTCTATTTTCTTTGTTAATTAGTATAGTTAATTCCTTACTTCACAGTCTGATGGTTTTGCATGTGTCCTTCTGCACAAATCTGGAAATCCCTCAGTTCTTCTGTGAACTTACTCAGGTCCTTAAGCTTGCCTGTTCAAGTATTCTCATCAACAACATCTTGATATACCTCGTGTCTTTCATATTTGCTGGTATTCCTCTTTGTGGTATCATGTTTTCTTATACTCAGATTTTCTCCTCTGTTTTGAAAATGTCATCAGCATCTGGAAAGTATAAAGCTTTTTCCACCTGTGGGTCTCACCTCTCAGTTATTTCTTTATTCTATGGGACAGCTTTTGGTGTGTACCTCAGTTCTTCATTCACACACTCTCCCAAGAAGACAGCAGTAGCTTCTGTAATGTATCTTGTATTCCCTCAAATGATGAATCCTTTTATCTATAGCCTGAGGAACAAGGATGTAAAGGTAAGCCTGAGAAAAGTCCTTGGTAGGATACCTTCTTTATAGTGACTGTGTCATCTGTGCCAACTCACCAATTATTGATATCTGTTACTGTGCATGAACATCAAATCAACCACACTTTATTTTATCATATACAAAATGACTTATGTATATTTTCATATTGATGTTAAATGGTTGAAAGATTTTTAAACATCTTCAACAATGAAGTTTTCAGTGTACAGAATTAGAATCCTAGACCCTAAGGTGCTCACAAAATGAGATGAACTGTCTTTAGTTACAGAGTTTTCAGAGGTTGACAATGTGTTGAAACTGCAAATGTCGCTTCCTAAATACTGCATGTGGTTAATTTATTGTAGGACTTGTGTCTTCATGATCAGTGGATTATTGTTGCAGATGTAATATCACATATGATATCTAGAGAGAGAAATTTTACTGTTCTTCATCAGCCTAGAGCTAATAGATTTGTTTAATAAATCAAAAGAAGACATGCCTTCGGTAGTGGGTTAAATGATTGCCCCAAAATGTTATTTGCATGTTTTAATTCTATAATCTGTAATTATTATTAATATAATAAAAGCAAAATGTTACCTTAAGAACCTGACTTATCCTGATAAGCCTAATTGCAATCACATATATGCTTGCAACATAGACAGTGTAGAACACACATAGAAAAGTAGGAGGCAACACAACCACAGAGGGAGATACTGGAGTGATATGGCCATAGACCAGTAAATACCTGAAGCCACAAAGATCTTTCAAAATCTGGAAGAGTCTATGAATATTTTCTCCCTTAGGGTCTTTCAGGTAGTACATTCCTGCTGATGATTTCTAATGTTCAGCCTTCAGAACTGAGATAATAAATGACTTATTTTAGGCAACCACATGTGGTATTTTTTCTTTCTTTCTTTTTTTATGACAGCCAAAGGAAACTCCTGCACTTTCCCATCACCAATGAGAATATGATCATATGCCCCTTCTTAATCTCATTTCTGATGTGGTGAAAATTATTACTATCAGAGCAGTAAACTGATCCTCTTAAGTGAAAGCTCATTGGAAAGTGAGCCCTAACCACAAAAAACACTTTATGCAATGCCTACAACTTAATGTTGTTGTTGATAAGTGTCTTGGAATTGGTTCCAACTCATAGCAACCCCATATAGGGTTTCTGAGGAGCCTCTGGTGAGGTTAAACTGCAATGCTTGGATTAAAGTCGACCTTGCAGTCCAGCGCATTAACCCACAGTATCACACTACCACTCCTGCTGCATAGTTATTTTTCAGTAACACTTAACTAATATCACTTTGCTCCATTTCTTGTCAATATTTCTGGATTTCTGGTATGGTGTAGTAGGATAATGCACTGGACCAAAAGCATAAGCACATAACCTCAAGGTTGGTTTGAACCCCAAGGTGGGTGGTTCAAAAGAACCAGCTTCTCCTGAAAACCCTCTATAGGGGTCCTATGAATCAGAATGGACTCATTTGCAGTTAACAAAGGATTCCTGATGTGGCAATTTAGGATAAGTACTCAACCACAAGGGCAGTTTGAAATGCAAGGTCAACAGTTCAAATTCACCAAACACTCCTTGGAAAACCTATACAGAATTGCTATGAATCAGAAATCACTGGACAGCACTTAACAACAACAGTATTACTCCATTTTTTGCCAATATTTTTAAGTCATGAAATCATTATCTCTCATGCATTTCTGCACTTCTTTAAAAATGCTATTTCCCTATATTTTATTTGAAAGTCCTGGTAGCACTGGGGATTAGGTGTTAGACTGATAATCAAAATGTCAGTGGTTGAAACCCACCGTCTTCTCTTCTGGAAAAGAAACAAACTATCTACTACCATAAAGATTTGCAGACTCAGAAACTCTATGTATGTTCCTTATGAAAGAGAATTGAATCAATGGCTATGGATTTTTTTTTTTAAATCTTTAATTTAACAAATATCACAGGCTTGCTAGTTTTAATTACTTTATCAATTAATAATGTTGGGTAGTTATGGTAAAGGGAGTCCTGTTGTGGAGCTGTGGGTTTATGAGAAGGTGTACAAAGTTGGTTTGAACTGCAAGGTCGGTGGTTTAAGCTCACCAGCTGCTACTCATAAACCTTATACAGGGCCACTATGAGTTGAAGGTGACTCAACAGTGCTTGAAAATAACAACAACAATAGTCATGGTAAAAGTTGGAAATGCTTTTTTGGTACCTTACATAGTTAGCTTTCTTTTCATTGATTTATTGGAAAGAATGGATGTGAGTTTTACTTTTCCCCTCAATCGCTTGTCTTGCTGTGCAATTTTTTACTCAACCAGGGCCTCTGTAAAATACAGAGACCTTGGTTGAGTAAAAGTAGTTGTGTCACTAGAACCTTAGAGTCATCTCTGTACTATTCATTTTCTCATCCAACACTTTTCAATGTGTCTGTAGGAGGGAAATTATTGTTTTATAAGTAAATAATTTGTTTTGAGGTGACATCTTGAGTGCAAAACAAGAAAAGAGAAAAGCCAATTGGAGTATTTGTGTGGCACCTTAGCATAAGCACTCTGCCTCAAGGCCCATTTGAGCTGCAAGGTCAGTGATTCAAACTCACCAGTTATTCCTTGGAAACATTACACAGGATCACTAAGAGTCAAAACCAACTCATAGGCACTTAAGAATAACAATAGGGAGATGAGTGTTTCTACAAGTACAAGATACAAGAAGTAAGCTATAAGTCAGAGTCCTCTTTATGGATATGGAGGTGAGCACATTGGGGATCTTACAGGAGAATCAAGCTCTTTCTGAGGGAAAAAAAAAAAGAGAGATGGCACCAATTCTGGAGAGCAAACACTTGAGGTAATTTCTAATGCTGAGCTTCCTTCTCTGATATACTCAGAAATCTTGCCAACATGAAATCCATCCTCATATAGTAGGTTTCTGGAGCATAAGTACATTAGAATCTCGGGAGACATATGAAGGATGTTTATTTATAACAACTTCTTTTGAGATCCTAATATACTCAATCATGGTTTTCATATTAGAAAATAATAGGAGGACATATTTACAATCTAGAATATGAAAGGTCTTTCTTCAATTTTATTATTTAGAATCACTTATACAAATTAGTGTATAACATGTGTCTGTAGTTCTTAAAGAATAACAATATAGTGACAAAATATATATACATCACAAGGTGAAGAAATGAAGCATTATCATAGATAAGAAATCTACTTGAGTAATCTTTCAATCACATCGTATTCTTTACTTCCAGTGAATGATTCCTTATGTCTCATTTCTCTTTTGCTCTCTTATTAGGCAAGCCTTATGAATTTTCTTCTAGGAGTTGAGAATATTTGTACCACTAACACTGCCTTTTTCATAGAATTTAACTGCATTTTTTTTTTTTTCACTCCTGTATATAAGGGTTGTTTTTGTTGTTTGAAGTTTGTGGTTCAAACTGACCTTATGGTCCAGTGTTTTATCCCACAGTGCCACAGCAATACTCCTTATTCAAGGGTTGTTGTTGTTGTTGTTAAGTACCGTAGAGTCGGTACTGACTCAGAGTGAACCTGCATAGGGTTTCTGAGGCTGTAAACCTTTACGGTAGCAGATAGGCATCAGAATATGAGAAAGATGCATTTACAACTTGAAACATGCAGATGCTGCAACCTAGCTTGCCGATAATGAAAAGGACTTGAAATACTTACTGATGAAGATCAAAGAGTATGGCTTTCAATATGCATTGCACCTCAGCCTAAAGAAAATAAAATCCTCACAAATGGAAAAATTGATAGCATAAATGAGTAAAAGACTGAAATTGTCAAAAACTTTATTTTGTTTGGATCCACAATCAATATTGTTAATTGCAGCATCAATAAATCAAATGATGTATTGCATCAGGCAAATATGCTGTAAATGACCTCTTTAAAGTCATCAACAGAAAAAGATGTCATTCTGAGGACTAAGGTGGGCCTGATCCAAGCCATCATATCTTCAATCTTCTCAGATGTATGTAAAACTTGGACAGTGAATAAGGAAGACTAGAACAGAATTGATGTGTTTGAATTATGGTGTTGACAATGAATACTGAAAGGATCATGGACTGTCAAAACAACAAACAAACCTGTATCATACTTTGGACATGTTGTTAGGATGGTCCAGTCCTTGGAAAAGGACTTAAATCTTACTTTAAAAATGGAGAATTTCCATGCATATGTGGTTATTGAAAATACCATGACCTGGGTTGGGCTGACCTGAACCCTCAAACTGCCATCTTTGCTTTCGAACACTTCAAAGAGGTCTGTGCAGCACATATGCCTAATGCAATTGTTGTTGTTAGGTGCCATAATCAGTACTGACTCATAGCAACCCTATGCACAATAGAATGAAACACTGCCTGGTCCTGGGACAATCTCACAATAGTTGTCAAGCTTGAGTTCATTGAAACTGCCACTTTGCCAATCCATCTTATACAGCTTTCTTATGCATATGAGGTGATTGAAAATACCATGGCTTGCAACAGGCAAACCTTAGTCCTCAAATCCACATCTTTGCTCTTCAACACTTTAAAAAGATCTTGTGCAGCAGATTTGCCTAATGAAATGCATTATGTGATTTCTTGACTGCTGCTTCCATGAGTGTTGATGGTTGATCTAAGAAGAATGAAGTCTTTGACAACTTAAATCATTTCTATGTTGTTAAGAACACACTTTATTGGTCTAATGGCGAGGATTTTTTTTTTTTTTTTACATTGAGATGCAATCCATACCGAAGGCTGCATGAGTTGTGTACAACTCACAAGCCACCACTCATCTTTTAGTTTGTCATATTGTGTAGCTTGTGAGTTGCTGTGATTCTGCAAGCAATTCCATTGGTATTTTAAATATCTGCAGGGTCATCCATAGTAGACAGAATTCAGATGAGCTTCCAGACATAGTCTACAAAGAAGGAGACTGCAACAACCTCCAAATATTTAGTAACTGAAATCTTTATGAATAACATAGAAAAATTATCAGATATAGTGCTGAAAAATGAGTACCTCAGATAGGAAGGCACTCAA